ATTTTTAATTCATAAATATAAAATATTTATAAATAAAGAGATACATTATTAATAACTAAATAAATATAAAGCTATTTAGAGTATGAAAAACCCTTACAATGACAAAAAATTATGAATATTATTTTTTCTCATATAAATAAAAAAGTCATAAAATTACTTTAAAAATTATTAAAAAAATTTTTATGATTATAATTATAATTATTATATTTTATAATAAATTGTGTAAAATTGAAAAAGTTCACGACTGCAATGAACGCAATGAGCATGATAGCAACTGTTATGTCCGCAACTGTGATAAATGTAATACGATCGAAAACAAGACCTCTACTGTAATTTAAATCCCTTGTTATTATTATATTTTTTTGTTAAGAAATCACATGAAAAATTAATGAAATAAAATTTTCTAAATACTCTATCCTCTAGGCAGCATTCGAGAACAAATTATCTCATTGAAAATTTTCACATGAATCCTTAGAATTTTGGATAGTTTTAGGTGGATTTAAAGTTTGGATCAAATTTAGGGTTTCATGGTTAGGGTTTTAGTGTTTTAGTGCTTTTTTTTTTTAATCTATGAGAAAAATGAAAATTGTTGATAACTCAAACTTCTTCAATCATTTCCAACATCTAGGCGAACTTACGAAACAAATTTGATTTTCACAATAAATTATGCAAGTGAAAGCTAAAATTAGAACGACCAATTTAATCAATTTTATGCCTATTTTACTCCTATTTACTTACTACCATTTCATTTCTAAAACTTAAAAATAAAATAAATTTTATTTGTTATTTTATTTACTTGTGAAAATTTCTACTTTATATTTTAAATTTTAATTTAATTTAACTTAACTTAATTTTTTTTAATTTTTAATTCTTTAATTCCTTAACATCTAGGTGGAATTAAAATTTCAAAATACGATTTTGAATTTCCTCCATCATTTAGGCAGGGTCTTCAAAAATCATTGTTTTCATATAAATATTATTCTATTTTATTTCTTAAAAGCAATTTTTCAATACTTTTGTTAAAAAATTAATTTTTAGACTTATTCATTATTATTTTTTTATATGAAAATATTTATTTTGTTTATCATTATTTATTAAATTGTTTATAGCACCAATAAATATTTAAACAATTTATTCATATAATAACACATTAAAATAAAAAAGGAAAAATATACCTAACAAAACTATGGGCCTTGGACCCAAAATGTTTGGACTTGGCCTCTAATGGAATAAGCTTGAATTGGGTTCACTAACTGCAACCCGTTTGACTTCCTATCCCTTCCGTTTTCCCTAATGAGCAAATCCAAACTCAACCTTTAAGCCTTCTTCTTTAACTTTTCTAAGTCATATTCCTTTCACCTTTTTATTTCTTCTTCTTTTTGCCAAACTAAGTACTTTTCCTGTCTCTTGAAACTAATTGAATATGTTTATCTTTTATTGGATTGCTTTACTTTTTTTTTATTATTTTTTGTATTTGCTTAACTTAGATCTTTTTTACTCCAATGAGCACTATCAATTTGTTTTTTTTTATTTTTTTTAAAGAAACAAAAATGTAAAAAGGGATTTTTGGATCTATGAATGGTGGTTTTGGTGGTGGGTTTCGATCGGTTTCAGGTAATAGGTTTTGTCTTAGTTGCATAGAGGTTTTTTGATTTTTAGGTCAAGGCAAGTAGAAGGTGACAGCTTGAGTTGTGGGTGGTAATCTCAATGTAGGCAAGGGAACGCTTTCCTCACTCGTTAATCTTAATGGCTTTCTCTGCTGGTTGGCTAGAGTTTTCACGGAAAGTAACTTTGTCCGATCTTATTCATTCAACCTAGGCTACGTAGACTGCAGGAGTTTTTTCACCTGCGACTGGTAGCTCGAGTTCTTTATTCTTGTTCTTGAGACCGGGACCTCCGAACAGTTGGAGAGTAATCATAGTGGTAATGGGTGTTGTTTCAGTGGTGGACACTAGGGATGGGTGGTGTTTTCAGTTGGGATGATTTTTTATTATGATGGTGGGTTGGGATTTTTAGTGGATATTGGCTGAAAGTGTGAAGGTGGGAGGGTTTCAATTCTAGATAGGATGGGTTTCGATGGTTTTTTTGTTGATTTCCCTTTGGGTTTGTAGTGGTACGTAATGGGGTTGGCGTGGGTGGAGACAAGTTTTTAGGAATTTTGGGTTGTTTTAGTTGTAAGGTTTTGGTGGTATGTTATGAAGGCTAGTTTGTTAGTGGTTTAGCTTTGATTCTTAGTGGGAATGGCAAGGGATTGGGTTTGTTTTTGGCAGGGATGCTAGGGCTTTTTAGTTGCTTGACAATGAGGGTTTGCAATTGGTTTCAATAGGGTTGCAAGGATGGGGTTCTTTTGCCATGTCCTTATCCCAAATTGATGATTTTGGCTCAGTTTTATTATGTACATTTTTTTAGACAAATCTCTTAAATTTTCAAGGATTGAAATCCCATTGCCAGTGGGACTTCAACTGTACATATTAGTTGTATTAGAATCGCAGTGTTAGGGTGGTTGGTAGAGCTAGAAGGAGATTAGGTATCGATGGAGGCTCGTTGTACTGACACCCACTATCACTGCCTTCTGACTTTTTTTTTTAACAAAATTAAATAAGACTTAATTAATTTTAAAAAAAGCCCTCACATAGATTGTGGTCCAAAGATATTGAATTTGGGCTAATGGTAATGGAGATTGATTTTGGGCTTTAAAATTAGGCTTAAAATGACCATAATTAAGCCTACAAGACTCAATATAAGCCTTAATTGTGCAAATTGACATCTTGAACAAAATTGAGATTTACCTAAACAAAAATTGGTATCTATAGTCGCTATCTCCTCATGGCATATGAAAATCAATATTGATGGTTCCGCTACTGGCAAACTAGGCACTGCAAGCATATGAGAGAATATTTCCACATTGGAACAGTAACATCTTGATGAATTTTTTTTTAAAGAATATCAGGATCAAAGACTCAAATTTGGTCAAGTCACTAGCAAGCCTTGAAGCTCTAACCTTAGTGGTAGATGCAAAAATCAATCTTTTTCCAAAGGTCATTGAAAATTACTTTAAAATGGTAATCGCTTGTCTTAGCAAACTCAGTGACGGTCCATGGAAATATATTGATATCATAAACAAGCTTTTAAACTTATTTAGCAAAATAAAAAAAGTCACTTTTGGTCATGTATTTAGAAAAGCTAACCATATCGTAGACTCTTTAGCTAAGATAGAGTCCACTGATATCGCAATTTGGTGGCATAGCTATAATTCTATAACCTATTACATTTTAATAAAAATTATTTCAATTTTCAAAAGAAAAAAAAATCAACATTCAACCTAAAGAATACCAATGGATTTTTTAATTCTTCTCTAGTCCTATGAAGTATTTTCAATTCAAACAAATATATACCCATACTTATGTAGACTATCTCATTCTCCTCTAGTCCACTCAAACATATACACATATATAAATATGTTAATCTCTTATAATCCTATAGGGTATCTACCCAATAAAACCCTATAACTCTCTTGTATCTTTTTTTCATATCTAATCCTATAGAGACTACCTATTTATAAGCATACAAATTTGCCTATCAAGAATCCATTTCTTTTTAGAATTTTTTTTTTGCAAGTCTTCTTATCTATTAAGCAATACCTTGTTAATTTCAAATAAATCTGTTATGGGATTTAACTTATTATTCCTAACAATCTCCACATTGACTCAAATTCCATCAATCATTAATTTTCATATTAGACATGTTTGGCTCTATCTATAATGAAAGTCTCATAACAATCATTTTTTTATGTCTTCATGTTTCATGCTAATTAATTTCTCAAAACATGAAATCGAACTCTTCCCTTAAGTCGAGTTCCTCTAGGCTTGCTTTTTCTTATTTTTGAACCTTCTACTCTGATACCACTTATTAGAATTATGACAATATCGATACTAGTTGTTAAGCATAAAAGCGCCAATATATTCAAGGCAACTAAAGCATAATCAAACAATCAAGCAACCATATAAGAGAACAATTTAACGTGATTCAGCCTGACTGACTTACATCCATTGATAAGAAAAAAAAATCTATTAATTGTAAAAAATTACAAACATACAATCATCAACACTCAATCCCAAACAATATACATATAGCTTTTTATTATTCTTTAGTTTTATAGAATATTCTCAACCCAAATAAACATATACCAAAATGCACCTAAGAACCATACCTAAGTAAACCATCTTATTCTTCTCTAGTGTACTCAAATATACACACCTATAAATACTTCAATTTTTTATAGTCTTATGGGGTGTCTATCCAATAAAACCCTACAACTCTTTTACATATTTTTTCTCAGACCTAACCCAATAGAGACTTCACCTATTATAAGCATATAAACTTACCTATTAAGAATCCATTTTCTCTTAGAATTATCCTTCTGTAACTTTTCATACCTATCAAGTAATATCTTGCTAATTTCAAACAAATCTCTTATGGGATTTGAGTGATTATTCCCAATAGTATATTATAAGCACTAATTTTTTTATATTTTAATAGTTTTTTATAGAATAAATGTAGTTTATTTTTTAACAGTGTTTATACCTTAAACACTAATACTATTTTTATAACACTGAAGCTCACAACGTTTTTGAATGAAATATGGCCAAAAAATTCACAAAAAATTGATTTCTATATTTAGTATAATTGGGAGATAAAATGATGAAGATATAAAACAAGATAAAAAATGAATACCTAAAACACAAGCTAAAAAATATAAATTAAACCACTATATAAGAATTGATAATGATCGATATGCCTTGGCTTTTGAACAACTAAATACATGACTTTAGAAAGAAAAATATCTAAAAATTATAAATAATATCTTGAAACTTGAATAAAATATAGCCTAAACTTAATTATTGTTTTCAATTTCTGAAGAATTAATTTCTTTATCTCTCTTTTTCTTCTTTTTTTTTTCTCAAACAAGCAAAAAAAAAAAATCAAAAAATTTAATTCTCTCAAGTGGTTGAAATAATGTCTAAGGATATTCCAAGAGGCAACCCATTTTCTTCTTCAAGAACAACTAGCAAGTTGTCTATAGGTTTGAGGAATGACCGAGGTACATGGTACCTAATAATACACATAATGATATTAATTAGTATATTACAAATTTCATTCATGTAAAATTTTTTAAAGTTATTTAATCAATAATATTTTAATTGATTCCTAGTAAGCAATTTTTTGGACAATTGGCATGCAATGAATTAATTTGTGGTTTTGCAAAAAAAAAAAAAAAAGGTTCCATTGAAAGGAGTAATTGGTTATTATGATAATGGTAGACATAAGTTTTTGCTATATTATCCCTTAAATTTCATTCATATCCTTGGTTTAGTAAATACTTTTATTTTTTACTTTTGTTCTTTGTCTTTGGTTTTTCATTTATTTTTTGCTTTATCATTTTTATTAATTTTTCTGTCAAAAGAGTAAAAAATAAAATTATTTACCATACTGAAATATCAAAGGAAAAAAAAGTATCTACCATACTAAACCTAATGATTTTTACCTTGATGCATGACATTTTTTTGAAAGCTAAACTTGAACTATATATAGAGAGGTAGATGCACCCTTTGTAATAAGTTGTACATGGACACACTTAAAAGTTGAGAAATAAAAAAAATGAAAAAATAGTTTTCTTAAAAACCTCCGTGAATATTTTTTTCGTCTATAAAATTAATAAATTTAGTAATAGTTTCTTTTATATATTATAAGTGGAAATTATTAAAAAAAGTCTTGGATCCATCATTTTATATATATATATATATATGTAGGTCTGTATGTATGTATGAAATTATGTGAGAAGAATTTATAGCATACCAAGTTTGATAAGGTGTTCCTTGTGGTGTAAGAAATGAAACCCAATATCTACCTATGCTTTGGCCATTAACCCATACTTCACCTTTCCCCATGGACCCAAGATTTAGTCCAAGCGAATCATCTCCTGCTGGTGCATCAAATGTAGTCTGTGACATTAAATGGAAATTTATGCATGCATGGTTAGCGTACGTTATTTTATTAAAAGCTTACTCATGAGAAAAATACATTCATAAATTAAGATTTCATTTGTTTTGTAGAAAATAATTTTTGAAAAATAATTTTTATATTTTTAAATATTTGTTTGATAAAAAACTAACTGATCAAAGAAAAATTTCATACTGATCAATAAAAAATAAGATAATTTTTTGGAAATTGTCTTACCTTTTTGAAAAGTGGAAGACAATTTTTAAAAAACTATATCTATCAATAGAATTACTTATCAATATATTTAAGCATAATTTTACTCAAATTAGATCTTATACATAATTTTTTTATGCTCAAACTTAATTGATGCAATCTAAAATATTATTGTATTAATAAATAATATGTTTTTAAATTTTACTTAAAAAATTAAAATATTAATATTAAAAGTCTTTTAATATTTTAATTTTAAATATTTTTATAGTTTTATTGAAGTAAAACTTTGAACATAATATTTTATATTCGAACTTGATTTGATTCGACTTAAAATATTATTATATTAATAAAAATATTTTTTTTAATTTTAATTAAAATATTAAAATATTAACATTCAAAATTTTTTTATATTTCAATTTTAAATATTTTTATTTTATGTATTATTAAACATAAATATTTTTAGTATTTCAATAATAAATAATATTATATTATTATTTTAATAATAAATAATAACATATCTCATAATATTTTTATTATTTTAATAATTAATGTTAAATAATATAATAATATTATTTTCTTAATATGAATATTTTTAATAATTTCTTATTAATCTTTAGTTTAAACTATACACTTTTATATTTTTATTTGTTAAGGTATTTATCTTACTATTTTAATAATAAATATAAATAAAAAATATTTTGTTATGATTTAATAATAGATACTTTCAATATAAAATATGAATATTTTAATAGTATAAATATTTTAATAATAAACATTATTATTTTAATATTAATAAAAATAATATTTTAAGAATAGTAATACTATTTTAAGTATTTTAAAATATTAATATAAAGAATAATAAAAGTTTTATTTTAAGTATTTTTATTTTAATATAATATTTTAATATTAAATATTATTATTAAAATATAATTATTCTTGAATATTAATATTTTTTAAATATTTTAATAGTTATATTAATATTATTTGAAAAAAACATATTTTTTAGAAAATAACTAAATAACAAAAAATATTTTTCATTATCTCATCTAAGTAATAAAAAATCTTTACTTTCCAAAAAATATTTTTTGAAATCAATTTCAGTGAAACAAATGAAGCCTAAGTTTATAAATGTCATTTTCTAAGACTTTTAAAAAAATTGGATTTGTGCACTATGCTTAAATGATGCCATTATTTTTTTTAAAAAAAAAATTAAATTTAAGACTTCATAAATGACATGATATAAAATAAAAAATAGATGTAGGCTTGATTTGGATTGAAACGCACTCCTATTGGAGAATAAAACAAATACACACGGCACATTAATACACAAACAATAGGGTAGGCCTAAAACAAAAATCCTTGGTTCGATCCAATTCAAAATGATTTATTCCAAATTCAATTCAGTTAACAAATAAATCTTTATAATTGTAATATTTTTGCAATGAAAAAAATTACAAAAAACTCCTTATTCAAAACTTAACTTAAATCTCAATTACACACTTTTAATAATCTATTTAATTAGCTATTATTTTGGTGTCTAACTATTTGGAATAATCCAACTAAAATCAAAACTTTTTATTTATAAAGAGGAAACCTCTTATAACTCTACTAAATTTCTCATGTGTGATTCAAGACAAACTCTCAACTATTATAACTCTATTCAATTGTCAATATGGGATTAAAAGATTGAAGGCAAATCTTAACAAATCTTCCATTAACTTGAATCTTCAAACACTTTGATAGCATCTATAAAACTGACCCTGCTTGCCTATCTTCTTTTTCTATATTGCTAGAATCCCAACAACTAAACCTCTATCAAGTATTTACAAGTGATTTTTAAACTTTTTCCTTTGCAAAACCACTCTATTATTCTTGTATACTTTTCATCAATCATTTTGTCCATCGTATGTATACCAATGAGAAGCTAACTCACCTAAGGTAATCAAATTATGGTTACAACTCGGTATGTACCTCACATGACGAAGAGTCATAATAGTACCATTATAAGATTTGAGGTGGACACTCCTAATACCTTGAATTTACGCCTTTTTCTTGTTTCCAACCACAACATCAGCATACTTCTCATCTCTTCCAACTCTACAAAGTAACTCTTATAATTGTAAACATAGATAAAAGTAGCTGAATTTAAAATCTAACCTTTATTACTTTTCAATGTCTAAGCTTCATCCCTACAAGTCATCTAAAGGAGACCACCATCAAACATAATAGCAATAGTGTCACTATTTCTTTCATTTGACTTATTCTCCTTATTCTCCCTTTTGAAAGTAACCATACTTAGATATGTCATTTTTTACCATAGTAATAACATTCTATATCATTATAATTTTTACCTTTTAACTTAGATCTTTCTCTTGATCCATAAATCTTCTTTCAATCAGAACCCTCCATAGCTTGTACATTTTCTTCTAGCAATAAGTTTTTTATTCTCATAAACCTTTCATTATTATGCAATAGGGCAATAACATCATCCAACTTCAAAGTAGACCTGCCTACCAACAAAATCTGAACTATAGGCTTATAGGACTTAGGTGAAAATGAAAACAAAATTAAAGTTTTCTTTTCATCTTTTAAATCATTAACAAAAAGAACCAGTAATTTTCATTCAAGTAACCATGGAGACTTGTACTTTTTTTTTCATTTTTAGTGAATAAAGATCCATCTTCAAACACAATTTGTTAATCAAGTCAACGTATAAATATCCTCAAACTTATCCCACAAACCCTTCAGAGTATTCTCAATCAGCATATTTTACTTTTTCTAGGACTAAGGCTAATCTAATAGTACTAACAGCTTTCCTGTGAATCCTATTCCAATTACTATCAGTCATTCCCTCATGCTTACCATTCTCTAATACCTAATCTAACCCTTGTTGCATTAATAGATCTTGAATCATACTTTGCCATAGTATAAATTACTCTTTTCATTAAAAAAATCTCAAACTTAGACATACTAGATATATCTTCAAACATTTTGAGATATTTAAACCGTCTTCATGAAACTTGAACACTTTTTCAAATCATGCTTTTTTAGGTTTGTCTTTTCCAATGTCTTGATTCTTTCTCTAATACTACTTATTGGGGAACAAAACAAATATGCACAGCATACTAACACAAACAATTAAGTACGTATAAAACAAAAATACTTACTTTGGCCTAACCCAAAGTGGCCTATTCCAAATCCAATCCAATTAACAAATAAATCTTTATAACTACAAGACTTTTGAAAGAAAAAAGTCACAAAAAGTCTCTTTATTCAAAACTTAACTCAAATCCTAATTGCACTATTTTAATAACCCATTCAATTAGCTATTCTTTTGGTGTTTAACAATTTGGGATAACCTAAATAAAACTATAGCATCTTATTTATAAGGGTGAAACCTTTTATAATTCTACTAAACTTTTTTTGTGGGATTTAATATAAATTCTCAACTCTTATAACTCCATTCAACTTTTGATGTATGATTAAAAGATTCAAGATATATCTCAACACTTCGTAAGGGTGCAATTGCTATAAAATTTTATGCCACCCACAACTTTTAAATCTAAACATTGCTATAAATCAATGCATTTTGTATCAATTTATCATTGGAGGTGAGGGGTTCAAGTCACCAACCACACTTGCTTTATTTTTTGGTTTTCGTTTTTCTCCTTTAATAAGTTAGCAACTTCAAAACTTTTTTTTTTTCATTTTGATTTTTGTTTAAATATAATAAAATAATTTTATTAATTTAATATAAAAATAAATTTTGTTATATAATAAATAAATAATTTTTATTATTATATAATAAACTAATAAATAAATTTTAATTATTTATTAACAAAACTATTATTTAATATAAAAACAATTTAATATTTTTTTATTATTTATTAATTTTATAAATATTAAATCATTTAAAATTTTTATTATATACAATTTTTACTCAATGTCTTTAGTAGCCATTTTCTCTTCTCACTATAATTCATCTCACTAACTTCACTAATTTTTCATTCAAACACATATTTCATCATTAATTTTAATTCACTACTATAATAACTAATCTTATATCCATCGTTGTTTTTTATTTTATCAAAACCAATCTCCCCACTCATCCAAGTAAACCCATATGTATTCAATCTTATCAAAATCAATTTCCCCATTCATCCAAATGATCCCATAATTTTTTAGGGTTTCTAACTTCTGTTCCAAGCTTTTAATTTCCATCAAAGGGAAGTCTTCATCTAATATCGAAAAAGAATGTCTTTTTTGCTGTGAACAAACTTTTTTGGTGATAATATGTAAGTTCAATATAAGTCCTTTCTAAATCGACTTATAGTCTGCCCTGATCTTAAAATAAGAAAATCTCTCATCTTAAATATTTATGCACCAAAAAAACAAAGAAAAAAAAAGTCTTTGTCAAACATATACCTTGTACCATGTAAGGTCATTGCGAGAAGAAGTAAAATTTCTCCATTGAACTTTGCTTGAGGTTTGCTCCATATAAATTTGTAATTTTTCTCCTAACAGTCCAACCTATAAAAATGACGAAGAATTGACGAAAATGTAAATGGAGTATTCTTCAAGGGAAAAGAATTGCAATAATGTGATAAATGAAAGGCATGAGATTTTGACTTCAAAGAGACTTTGAAGTGACAAAATATGGTACCTGGTATCCCCCCGAATAGTTGGTCAAATCCTTCACACTTTGTACATCATGAATCGTTACCCTTCTTAGCCCGGCAACCTTACTTTCCAAATATGCTCCAGAATCCTTTACATCAAAAGGTAAACTTAGTATGTCAATGCTAAGATAATTGATAACCTTAAACTTGAAATTAGGCTGTCTATATGCACTAGGCTATCCATCAAGCCTAAAGATCTGTCCAATATTGAGATGGTTTGGATAAAATTACAAAATAAAAAAAAAAGATTTGTTTGAAAACATGAGTTTGGACCAAAAAAAAAAAGAGATCTATACGGATTTTGGTTGTATCATTTACAAAATTTGGAAGAATTTAACCAGACTTTAAAATCTGAATTATCAGGTCAGGCCAAGTTTGAACTTGCGTTTATTGTTCATATTATATCCAGATCTATCTTCAATTCAATCTGATTTAATTTGTGGACTCCGCAACTTAAAATGTATATTTTACAATTATCTACAATACTCAAAGGTAACCAACTCAAGGATGTCAAATTTGAGATGCATTTGCATAAAATTACAAAAAAAGATTAATAATTGTGAAAAAATGAGAATATATTGAAAGACTTGTGTATCGAATCATACAAATACCATAGATTTAAATACAACTAACTAGAGAGTAAACTAGGAAACTAAATATTCTTAAATTTAATCCCTATAATCAAGGAATTATCTATCTTGATATTCTATCTTTAATTCTAGAGATACAAATTCTTAATTTTAAGGATACAGATATATACAGATTACAATCAGCAGATTACAAAATACAAACACTTGTAACTAAATATTTTCCCACAATAATGATTGACAAGCCAAAGATAAAAAATTCGTACCGGTAAACCAACCATTACACTAAGGAGGGATATGTTGTTGCTGCCTTTGTTTAATGGAATTGTATTCTCTAGCGTGAAACGTGAGTTCTTATGATTTCCATGGGCAGATCCTAACAAATTAAATTAATTAACATGTTAATATTGTTGAGATTTTACAGAATAAAAAAAACAACCAATCATAATAATTATTTTCTTATTCGTTAGTTTATAATATGAGAGAACGTATATAAAAAAGAGTTTATATTTAATAAATTATTAGTGTATAAATTTTATATATTATAGGTAAATCATATGATATTATTTCATTAATGAAAAAAATAAATAAATAATAATTTTTTATATTAATTTTAAAGATTTATGAAAATTAACGTTACTTATTAATGAGACGATATTATATGATTTATTGACAGTACATCAAATATAAAGGTAACCTATCAAAGATTCTATTAATATTATCTGTTTGCACAAAATAGTAAACTAGAATTAGACGTCCTTACCAACTAAAACACCATTGACAAATGCATGCAAAACATGCCCAGCCGAGTTCAACTTCAGCACTGCTTCACTATTCGATGATTCGTGTTGATAGCTGAAATTAAAGTGTGCCATATTTTACTAGATACCATATTTTACCATACTCTCTTCTGTATATTAGCTCGATTGGATAGAAAAAGAATACCTGAAAGTGTACCAAAGATAATCCGACATGTCTTTTGTTGTATTCATGTGCTCTAACAACTTATCGGATCTTAGTGATGTCTCTGCCAAGGTAGGAATAATGTCCCTGAATTCTTCCCACATTTCGAAATCATTGAACTTCTTGCCTGTTGTTATCAATCTCGTGTTGTTCTGAACACTTACCTATTTAACCCAAACATCAATAACAGAAAAACAAAATGAAATTCAATTATTGCTACAAAGAAAAAAACTTTTTTCAATTTGTTGTTATTATTTTGAAAATTTGAGGCTTGCCTTGGCAGTGTTGAAGGCCACGTTCTTGCAATCAGGTAAAATGCTAACTGAATTTGAAGTCAATTCATATGAAGAATTCTGAAAGAGCACAACAACAGTTTTTATATCGTCCTTGTTCACTAGAAAGGCAGCACATTCTCCCGAATTTCGTTGATATATGTAGCCCTACATAACAAAAATTTATTCAACATTGTTTTCCATTTTCATAAATACTGCAGCTGAACTAAAAAAAGAAAAAGAGAAGACTGCAAAAGGAGAGTCGGATAACTATTGTTACCATTTGTCGTTCACCAAGATATAGCATAGATTGTGTTCCAAATAAAATGGGATATGAACATGACTTAATTGCGGCATGCAACTCCTTCAAATGGCCCCATTTCGGCTGCCTAATGAAACCTGCATGAATTAAGTTAGCCTATTTGATGACTCCTCTAGCCTATTTCAATTATGTTAGTAAGTGTTTGTATTTTTCTTTACAAGGAATAAGCAGTGTAAGTGTAGAAACCTATTTTGTTTGGAATAGACAATGTTATTTCGAGATGATTTTAAAATGAATCTCGGTTTTTTTTTTTTTTTTTTTTGTATTTACACCTACCTAATTTGCACCAATTAGAATATTTTAGTTGGATTTATTTTGTTGTTTTCATGTTCGGTACATTTGAACTTTGTTTGCATGGACCATGACATACCATACTCGTCAAGAGGTGCATCGTCATAGTAGTTTGTTGTTGAGAATGCAGAGGCTGTTCTCCCAAAATTAGTTCCACCTTGATACTAAGAAGAAACAAGAAAACAAGAAAACGATGTCGTGTACAATCATCAGATGCAACTTCTAGCAAACCATGTAACCATAAAAAATATCTTCCCAAGGAAATTAAGAAATTATATAAGGGTTAGGAGTACCATGTAATAATTTACGAAAGTCCCATTCCTTGCAACAAACAGAGCGACTTGGAATGCAATGTCTTGGGGAGATCTTGTGTCTTGTTCCTTACCATATGCTTGATATCTTCAAGGGAAGCAGTGGCATTGATTATTAGAAGCAAAATATGGCGTAAATCATTTGATAAAAGTAAGTGCGGCTTTCAAATTCAGAACTTAGATGTGCCGTGAGATTCAACAATAATATTCCATTTTTGAGAGTGTGGAAAGGAAAATTAATAGGCTTAAATACAAAGTTGGCCTTCGAAGGTCGTTTAACCCCTACTCTTTTGTTCTGTTATCACATACCGAGATGTCCAATTTTCTGTCCAAATCCAAGGCTTGTTAGGTGAATTGGGACCTGGAAATGACTCCCCGCATTTCATCCCATTGCAAGTGTTGATCTGGACATAAAAAAGTGTATAAAAATTTTACTCAAAGTTGAATATTGTCTTTACTAGTTACGTTATTACAAACAAATACAAAATTCTAAGGTATCGTCTTGTTAATTTTGCTGCATTTGGACAGTCCAAATAAAAGCCATTGTTCAATCCTTTTTTAAAGTTGTGAATGCCAGTTCATATATTGTTTATTTTGTTTCAATTTCTCATTTTATTTTCTTTCTTTAATTTTTTTTATTTTAATCTTTAAGCTCCAGAATTTTAATCATGTTAATAGGAATTTTAGCTACATTCCATTATATAATTCAAGTCTTGTATTATATGTCGTAGGAGAAAAGCAAGGAATGAAGCAGCTCACAGGTTAATAAAGCATGGATTACGAAATGATGAAGGATTATATTGAATTGAGGAATGTCTTGGATTTTTACAAACAGTTGTAACAGTTGATGCATCTTTGATTCATTAATGAATGATAAGCAATTTGATTTTTAAAAAAAGTAATTATAAAAAAATTGTAATAATATAAAACAAAATAAAATATGTAAGGGGACTAACCACGGGATCAGGAGCATCGTCTTGTTTGCACATCATCCAGGGGACCCCAGTTTGAAGTCCTACGGCCATTTGTGCTGCCCATTTCACGTATGGAGGTCCTTTCTCGTGAAATGCATCTTCCACTAATTGGTACTCATTCTCAATCTACTTAATTATTTAATAATAATAAAAATTAATAAAGAAATCATAATTAAGATTTTGTCACATTAATTAACAATTAATGTAAACTTGATAATTTTACGTATATATAATAATATAATATAAAACATATAAAAAAATAATTTAAAATTTTAATAAAAACATAAATTATAATTTAATAATTTAATAAAAAATAATATGATATATATATGTAAATTTTTAAATAAATGGTTAATAATTGATAAATATACAAAGAACCTGTGATAGAATGATTGGTCCCCCTTGTGAAGCATACAAGTTTTCTGATATCATCATGTCTACTATTTTTGTGGTGAAATTCTGCATATACAGCTGTGCCATCCATGAACAATGTGTCAAAACAAATAATATTCCGGAATCACCACTCATCATGAAACAGGGAGAAAAGTTTTCCAGTCATTATACCTTGAATGGTTCATTGTCACATCGGTAAACAATGCCTGGGACGTCATGCAACCAGAAAGGTAATCCACTGCAATAAAAATTAAATCAAGTTTCCCTTTAGCTTCTTCAAAAAAATAATAATAATAATAATAAATAAACTTCGTAATTGTTTGAATTCATGATCAAAATTATCATCTAGCTAATCTAACTTTTTATATTACAAAAAACAGTTTTAAGAGAATTAGAAATGAAAATTTATAAGAATCGAATTTTAATTTTACGAGAAAAATGAATAAATTATTTGAATTAAATTTTAAGATTACTATATAAAATTTATCATTATATCTTTTAATTTGATTCAAAAAATCAAAAGTTAAAACTTTGAATTACATTTTTTTTATTGCAAAAAGTAATAATGATCTTACAATTGTGGGTTAAGCATGCATTCAATTTGGAAGTTTTAAAGATTTTTCTAGGTAAATTAAAATCAAAGTTTCGGCTGAATTTATATCATATATATATTCATGTAGAGCGAATTGGTGCAACTCTATGAATTGATAATGCAAAAAGCAAGAAATATCAATCAAATCAAAGTTTCAAATGTTCTCCTTACCCGTAATTCCATTCACCCTCAATGAAGGGCCCAACGCGGAGACTTGCATATAGGCCTTGTGCTTGGATTTCCTTAATGAACCCAACTAGATCAGCTCTCCCACTGAAATCGTACTGCATGGAGTAATGGTTTAAAAAATAAATAATTTTTAATATATATTTTTAAAAAATCAATAAATAAGTTAAATCAATAACTAATAAATTAATATTTAATGGAATGAAACTCATACTAAGTTATGGAACTTGAACTCAAAGTTTAAAAACTTTTAGGTGTTAAATTTTAGAATCAATATCAATTTAAAATCGATAATACCTGAAGTAATTTTTATTGGATTTATATGTTTGGAATGCTCTTAATTTAACTGATGTGAAATTTATCTAGTATATTATAATTAGTAATAATTCATTCAAAAAACTAAAAAATATACAATATTAAACCCATTTAAAAAAAATTAAGTGTTTAACTAGAAAATATGAAAGTTAATCAACGGAGGAAATAATTTTTTTGACAAAATCAATATTTATTAGTTCTAATGATAAAAACTTAATTTTTTTAAAATAAGGTTACGATTTTAAATTTTATGAATAAAAAATTTTTTTAAAAATTTATTTTTTTATAAAATTTAATTCAATTTGATTTTGAATTAAATTAATTGAGATAAAAAATGATCACCGGATACTAAATGATCTCAGGTAAAAAAAACATTTTTGACAAAAGAAATTAAAACAATTTGAAAGATTGATGACCCAATTTTGAAATTTAAAACGATAAGGATAAAAAATGATAAAAGAGCTAACTTTACCTGGCCTTGTATCGGCTCATGAAGATTCCAAAACACGTAGGTTTGTATCACATCTATTCCTCCCTCTTTAGCTTTGGCTATTACTGATGGCCACATCTGCAAACACACTTCACATGCTTTCATTGGCTTTTAGGAAAAAAAAAAGTTAATAAGATACATTATCAATAATCTAATAACATTGTAACTAGAGGTATAATCGAGTTATGTCGAATCGATATAGTGAAAAATTCAAACTCGACTTTTAACTCGCAGTTCGATATTCAATTTAAATTCAATCGAGTTTTATTTTTTTAACTCGAGTTTAATTCGTGATCAAATTCGAATTACTTAAATTCGTTCGATTAAATTTGAAAATATGTAAAAATAAATGCGATTCTTATACTCGACAAGAGCTCAATTATTTGTGCTCGAGTTCGAGCTAAAATTCGAGATATTTTATTAATTAAAATAATAAAAAAATTTAAATATAAAAATTCGATTAGATTCGCAAACTACTTAAGTTGAATATAAAAATACTCGAATTCAATTCGATCGATGAGTAAAGTTACTCGAGCTCGAGCTCGATTCAATAATAATTGAACTGAATTTGAATTTTATTCGAATCGAATCCGAATAACTTATAAGTACTAATTTATCATTTATATCTCTAACTGTATCTAGTCTCTAATGGGTAAAAAATAAAATTAATTAATTAATTATAGTTTAGGGGCATAAATTCCTTTACAAAAAATAAACTTCGGATTAAATAAAAACATTTGAACAAATACATCCAAAAGAATAAAAAGCCTCCATCCATTATTTGCAATATAAAAAGGTCATACTAACTTTTCGTAATTAAGAGTTTTAAATTTGTGATTCCATGCCCTAAAGAACTACTTTTACAAATTTAACCAAGGAAATAGTGCCCTTAAACTATAAAATATTTAGCTGAATTTATATGTTATTTTATTTTTAAAAATAAAATAAAAAACTGCAACGATCATCCATCATCCGTTGTCATCGATTGTAACTCCTCAATGACGTCTTCAACTCAAAACACCTATTTTTCTTTCTTTCGTTGTCCTTCTCACCTTGATCGGTTTATTTTCTCCAAATCCCTTTTTCCTGTGAAAATTAACAAAAATCCAAAACCCTAGAATCTAAGATCGTACTTTCGTTGGCCTTTATTCATCGTCAACGACTTTCCTCCTCCCTTCTTCCTTTCCACATAGAAATCTAAACCCAAGACCACCACAGCCACCGTTAACCAGTGGCTGGTGGCGATTATAACCAAAGGGAGCCCTGGCTCCCCTAACTTTTGAAAACTCTTAAAGACATACTATACACTATAATAATTTCATATGCATTTAAACTAAATTAGAATTGTTATTTATTATTTAATATTTTTATCTTTGACTTAATTTTATTGATTGTAATTTAAGAGAAATAAATTTTATTATTATTTATCTATGTGTTGTACTCACAATCATTATTCACAAATCTTTAAAAGTAAAAAACTTGTCACAAATATTAATCTACTGTCATGTAAACTTTAAAAAAAATAAATAAATAAATAAACTTGGTTTGGGAGTGGAAATAAAAAAAAAAAAAAAAACAGGTTGGAATGGTTCATGGTTATGGCGGAATGGGTTGTTGCATTCAAGGATATAGTCAAAGATGCTTAAGGAGATCGGTTTCTGATCATTGTCCCATGGTACTGTCATCTAACATGGTCGAGTGGGGTCTAAAACCATTCAAGGTCTGGGATTGTTGGTTCTCCAATAGCAAATTTATGAAGGAGGTAAAAGAGAAAGGGAAGCAGTCATTAGTTGCAGGAAAAGCAGGGCATTGTCTACGTGTAAAATTAATGAAGATGAAGTCCTTCATGAAGAAGTGGAATACTGAAGTTTTCGAAAATCTAGAGGAGAAGATTGTGACGCTTGAAGAGAAGGTCGACTATTTTGATAACTTGAATAATCAAAGGGATCTAGAGCTAATTGAAATTGAAGATCGAAAAAGGGCGTTAGAGGCGCTATGGGTCGTTCTTAAAGACAGAGAATCCGGTGAGGGCAAAAGTCGAGAATCATGTGGTTAGAAGAGAGAGATAAAAATACTAAATTTTTTCATTATATCGCCAAGTTGAGGGCTTATAAAAACTCTTTGTGTGGGCTGTATGACAATGGTGTTTGGATATCAGATCCACGGAGAATCAAATCTCTGGTGCTGGAATTCTACAAAAGGCACCTCTCGGCTGATGAATGGACTCATAAGGATGTTGTTGGTCTGCCTTTTTGTAAACTCTCTAAAGAAGAAGTTGATTTGTTGGAGGCACCTTTCTTAGTGGAGGAATTGAAAGAGGCAATTTGGGATGGTGAAGGTTCAAAGGCCTCTAGCCTGGATGGGTATAACTTTTTTATAGGAAGGCATGGACTTTTTTGAAGGATGATCTAATGCATTTTCTGGAGGACTTTCATGTAGAAGCGAAATTGGAGAAAGGTTTAAATTCATTCTTCATCACTCTCATCCCTAAAGTGGAGAACCCTGTTGGATTTAAATGAGTATAGGCCAATTAGTTTGGTGAATTCTCCGTACAAAAATTCTCACAAAAATCCTAAAGGCTGAAAAGGGTTATAGGCAAATTGGTTTATGACACGCAATCGGCATTCATTGTTGGGAAGCAGATCATGGACGGAATCTTACTAGCTAATGTGTGATTTATTGAATGAAAAAAAACTCACAGCATGTTAGATGAGTGATTTTAAAATTGGATTTTTAAAAAGCCTACGACTGTGTGAATTGGGGCTTCTTGTATCATGTATTAGAGTCCATGGGTTGTGGGGATAGGTGGATTAGATGGATAAAGGAATGTGTCTACTGTTAGGGTATCAATACTGGTGAGTGGCTCTCCTACAGGTGAATTCTAGATGCAAAGAGGTTTGAGGCAGAGGGCCCTCTCTTACCATTCCTGTTTATACTAGTTAGCGAAACACTACACCTAATAACCAAAGCGAAGGCTCTCAATCACAAAGAAGGGGTTTTTTTTGTTTTGATTCTACTATGTCTCATCTCCAATTTGTTGATGACACAATTCTATTTTTAGATGCCAATGAGGAGGTCATTTACAATATGAAAATGACTCTAAAATGCTTCGAGTTGAGCTTCGGCTTGAAGATCAACTTTAATAAATCAGTGTTATATGTGATTGGGGTGAAAGAACCAAACGCCGATAACTTAGCCTCGATCTTCGACTATAGGTGTGGGAAGCTCCCTTTTCAATATTTAGGTGTCTCGATTGGCTCAAATCCAAGAATAATAAAGCTATGGAATCCAATAATCAAAAGAATACAAGAGAGATTGGCCCTTTAGAGAAGTACCTATCCTTTGGAGGTAGAGTTATGTTGATCAATTTGGTATTATCTTACTTACCTATATATTATATGTCTATTTTTAAGCCCCAGATGGAGTTATTAAGAAAATCGACCAATTGAAGAGATCTTTTTTATGGGGAGGGGGAGAGAATCAGAACAAGATTACTAAAGTCAGCTAGTTGGCAGTTTGCAAACCTGAAAAGTTTAGGGGATTGGGTATAAAAGATCTTCAAGCAAAAAATTATGCTCTGTTACAAAATGGTGGTGGAGATATGCTTTGAACCAAACTCGTTATGGAGAAGAGTGGTTGTTGCCAAATATGGGTTTTGTTAGAAAAATAGGGTCCAACTTCATGTAAGTGATTTTGGATCAAGTAAAGGCTATAGGCCTTGATCTTTCATTTTATACAGAGCCTTAGCTACTTAATAAAAAAATAGGTGGGGTTGTTTTAAGTGTGTGTCGAAAACCAAGTAGAGAAAGAAAAAAAGCCAAAAAAAGCATTGAGAAAAGGAGAAGGGAAAGTTGGTTGAATAGAAGTTGATCCGTGGTCCGATTGAGTTGAAACCTTGTCAGGAGGTTTATAATTCAAAGTTCTACATTCTGAACGGTAAAGATCAGGTTTGAAGCTCTTTAGGAACAAATCCAGAGTGTATTTGTTGAGTTACTTATTTGGTGAGATTTCTTTAATTGTTTCTCTAGTTGTTGATTAGTTCTAGTTTTACCTAGAGAAGAACTTTGTATACATATTATTTGATAGTAAAGATTTTTCTAGTGGTTCGTGATTTTTTTCCTCTACACTGGAGGGTTTTTCACGTAAATCTTGGTGTGCTTTATTTTTTCTTGTGTTTTTTATTATTGATTGTTGTCTATTGCTTCTGTATTATTGTGATTATTGCTTCAGGTGCAATAAGTAGTATCAGAACGAGGGTTATTTTGAGACATCGATACAAAAGCAACCCAAGATAGAAGTAAATTCTGTTTGAGATCATAGAGGGTGATACAGGTTCCATAATAAAATTGACAGCATCAAATTATTCAATTTGGAAGCCTATGATGGAGGATCATCTATACTGTAAAGATTTGTATGAGCTAGTATTGGGTGATTCGGCTAAACCAGCATATATGAAAGATGAAAGTTGAAAGAAGCTAGGTAGAAAGACGCTGGCTATAATTAGAAAATAAGTTAATATTAGCATGTTCCATCATGTAGCGCAAGAGTCAGATGTTCACATTGTTTGAGAAAAATTGACAGCATTGTATGAGAAAAAATAGGTATGAATAAAGTTATGCTTGTTAAAAAGCTTGCAACTTTACAGTACAAGGATGGACGATCTATTACAAAGCATTTGAGTGATTTTCAAGATATATTTAATCGGATGACTACTATGGAGCTTAAGATGGATGACGAAATAAAAATATTATTTCTTTTAGGTTCATTGCCAGACAGCTGGAATACTCTAGTTGTGACTATTCTTAATTTAGCTCCTGATTATAAGGTGACATTAAAAATAGTAAAGGACAGTATGCTTAATGAAGAAGCAAGGTGAAAAGATGTAGACTTTGAAAATCAAGCTCTGATCATAAAGAACAGGATATAAACATTGACAGAGGTTAGGACTCAAAAGATCGTGGTAAGTCTAAACATAGATCCAAGTTTAGAGGTAAAGTGAAGTGTTTCTATTGTGGTAAGACAAGTCATATAAAAACGAAATTATAAAATCTTGAAGCAAGAGCGAAAAAAATGAGAAA